CCCCCCCCCCTCCACACACACCACACTCGAAAGCTACCCACAGTCCAATATGTCGCTTATTTTAATCCTTCCCTTTTTCAGAGACCTCTCTGACGTCAAAAGTTCTGGTGAGAGCAGCAATCCTTGCGCCGACAGAACGCAAATGGTAAATTGTCCTGAGAAAATCTTACCGGGCAGCTTGAAGCTACCCGGAGATGGTAACAACAAGACAGGAAGCTCAGGAAATGACGGCGCTGGTCCTGCAGGGGGAAGTAAAGATGACCCAGCTAAACCTGTCGACCCACCGAAGTCTGGTGACACTGTAAAACCTGCGGACCTACCAAAGTCTGGTGACACTGTAAAACCTGCGGACCCACCGAAGTCTGGTGACACTGTAAAACCTGCGGACCCACCAAAGTCTGATGGCACCGTAAAAGCTGTGGACCCTTCGAAGCCCGAAGACGCCGTAAAAGATGGAGGTCCGTCACAACAGACGCCCGCTGCTGCGCCGGCTGTCGGTTCAGCGACAGATCAGGGAACAGCACCTCCTCCATGTGAGTCATTTCCTGGGGGGAATCTCTGCACTGTCTTTTTATCTGCCAATTTCTAGCTTTATTGAAAGAAGTGTTAAATTTGTTCCTCACCAGCTGTAGAAAACAAATTGAGGGAATAATATATGCACCCCCCCCGCCCAACAAACAAATATAAATACAATAAATCAAACAAATCCAAAACATTATGTTTGCGTTTAAAATAATAATTTTAAAAATGTTTCTTTCTTTTAAATTTTTTCTTGGCTTTTTTTTTTTACAATGATTGGAAAGGGGTGGGGGGAGGGGGATTAGGATGTCTGTAATATGGGTGCACATCCGAATTTCACATTTCGTTACGCCTTTTACCAACCAATAATGTGAACTGGAGATTGCTGAATTGCGTAGTATGTCCAGCAAAAAATTAATGAAAGGCCCCCCCCCCCCAGGCATGTGTAAGCTTCTTTTACGTTTCCTTTAGTGTTTTTCTTTTCTTCATCTCATTTTGTTCCTTTGATCGAAACCGTTCCTTTAGTCCTACTCAAGTGAACTGCCGGCTTGATTTCTTATGGGATCGGCAGATCGGGTAGATTGCCCGACTCGGTCGCCTAAAAAATAAACGTGTTTGTTTTCAGTTTCAGGCGATCGAGACGGGCGATCAGCCCGATCCAGCCGTAGTGGGCACCCCGTATTAGGGTTGACCAAAATGACTAAGACGATTAAGGGGTTTGTAAAATTTGAAACTCGATTTATGAATACTGTGAGCTGGGCAAAGGTAAATAAGAATAGCGAGGGTTGAGTATTATGAAACACTAAACAGGTAACGCAAATTTGAGTCTGTTGATATTCCATTTTACTGAGATTTTATCTCAATCAGCTTGAATATCCTCTAAATAATACATTCAATGTTTGTTCACCTTTGCAACCACAATTGTGTTTCCACCGAACACAATACTCCCACATTTCTTATCTCTCAATTTATTTCTTTTGCGTGCTATATCTATCTTGCTATCTATCTGTTTTGTTGCTATTTATCTGCCTGTGAGTAAAGCAAACTACCACTTTTTTCTCTCTCGATCTCTCTCCCTCTCTCTAACTCTCTCTCATTCTCC